TGCGTAATCATAATAATATGCAATATAAAATTTTCCGCTAAAAAAAAAATCAAAATATAGTAGAATATAAAGCAAGAGCACAAAATTGAAATCAGAAAACCAAACATCGAATAAAACCGCAACAGCTCGCCACTCAACACAAATAGCAAGCGGGCCACCGCTTGTAGGTGGATACGAACGTCCACAAGTATTGACAACGTAGGCAGGCGGAATAGTATTGAAGCATTTGCTCATCACTATGGAACGCTTCGTTTTGGAGGATGTGGTTGCACCGCCAACACACACTGCCGATACACCGCTTAAAGACTGGCGGCTCAAGTATCAGGCGGGCACAATTCAGAAAAATGACTTCACTGATTTCTTTCAAAAGCAATCACGGAAATATTTTCATTACCAGTATGAAGCAGAGCAAGGTGAGTATTTAGTTTAGCATATGTAGTTGTATTTAGATATTAATTACCGTTGTATGCAGACCACATGATTGTTAACAGCAGTCGCCGATGGTTGTCCTTTGTCAAGGGCGGCAGTGATGGTTGTGGTTTTTAAATGCTACTAGGTAACATTGGCAATGGCAACATGATCTGACGATGACACCCGCCTCCACTTTGCATAAAGTCGTATACATGTATATAGATATGTTTAATATCTACATATATGTACATATATCTATGTCAATATGCTAATGCATTTCAGTTTTTTTTTAGTAATACACATGCGATTGTTGTCTGCGCTAAACTGATTTAACTTCTCAGTCGTTTTGCCATTGCTAGAGCTTTGTTGTTTTTTTTTTACATAATACGATGTACAATTTTAGTAACACATTCACTCTTAATTGAAAATAAAACAAAGCAAAAAAAAAACACATTGTATGTAAACTGTTTAGAACAACTAATTTCAAACTTACTCCGTTAAATTTTTGTCTGTTAAATTTACGTTTTGCTTGTTCAAGAAAAGAATGTGAGAATATGCTACAGGTGTAGTAGCTTCCCAGCAAACACAGTCTCTAACGTTTGAGAAATATTTTGACTACATTAGAATTCGATTAGATTAGGTTAGGTGTGCTGGCCAGCCACTCGAGTGACTTCGCAGAGACCAATAAGGTTCATAGCGTTACCAGATAAACTACGACCGCTCTATACAGCTAATCACTACGTACCAGGAGCAATGTTTAAGAACATCGCAGCCCTCTTGGCAAACTGGAGGAGCTTGTTACACCCTACCTTGGCGGCGTCTTCCAGATTAGGTAGGAAACCTGCTCCCAGTGACTAACCGGCAGATGATATGCTCCACTGTTTCCTCCTTCGTTGTGCGTATTCTACAGATTTTATCGTTTATCAGGGCCAATGTTCAGTTAGAACACCCACCAGAAGTCTAGCGTCCTCCTCCTTGAATTCGTTTAGAGAATGATTGGAAAAACACTAGACATTAGAAACCAATTAGAATTCAACATTAGAATACGATTGGATATCTAACCTCTTTCTCGATATTTAGAATTAAGCCAGACTGTAGAGAAAGCTACAATTCCCGACAGTTTCTGTAATCGTCTTCTTTCCTTTTACCTTATAGAAACACATTAGAAATTAAGTCGTTTTCTAATGGTTCGATAACCTGTATGCTTGTAGGGTTACCACCAAAATATATTTTATAAATTTAATTATAAATAAAAAAAATATGATTTAAAATCAATAAATAATATGCTTTTGATAATTATGTATTGTAATATATTTAGTATCTAACATTGAAATGTAACCTTGGTTGTTGTGCTAACCAAATAAATAAATAATTGAAAAAGAACTTAAAATTTCAGCTCAGTTATTCTACAAAACGCCAATCGCACCCTAAACCACCATACTCTTTTCTCGATCACATTCCGGGGATCCTCAAATCTCTCCATCAGACTTCTTTGTCTAGACTTTAGCAGGGATCGAACCCGCACTGAGTATGCAAAGCCGACAAACTTTTGATTTTTACTTGATGTTGTTGTTGTTGTAACAGCATACAAACTCCCCAAAGACTTTTTGGGGAGTGTTGCTGGAGTGACAGTCCTTGGCCAGATATAAATCTGGGTCGTTCCGGTTACGTAGACCCGACTGTCGTGGGAACGATTTTTACTTGATCTTGACGTTTGGTTTTATGAGATGCGTTCATAAAGCACTGTGTATAAACTCTTAAATTTATGTTTTTCATTCGCCAATTCTATTCGCAACTACTTAAGTTCTCCGCCCCAGAAAATCCAAACTTTCCATTTGTCATTTTGATCCACGCAAGTCGTACCAGATTGCAGGCCCGATTTTTACGTTGTCTATTTGGAAATTTTGGAGTCCAAATTCCTAGAACTACTCGTGGTCTTCCTTATTGAGACATGAACCCCACCTTTTTCATGAATTGTAGTCCAGTATTACTACAATAAGAAGTCGACATTCTGCCATTTCTATTTTGGCAAAATCTCGATATTTTTTTTTTTTTGATATACGCTGGACTTCGGCTACAGTTGCAACAATTTTTCACAACTTTTTTTATTTGCGAAATCTTGCACATTATCTGAGCCCTGGATTCAGGAAATCAACAAATTTCCGATTTACTGCAGTTGGGTGTGTGTGTGCACCGGTTTCACGCATGCTCGCTATGCGATATCTAAAATTGCTTTAAAATGCTTCAGGAGTGTTCAAAAGCATATTTGATTAGCTTCTCTTAATCCACAAGCTCAAGTGAATCAAACAAATTAGCAGATGCTTCGCGTAGTTTTTTTAAATGAGGTTAAACCGAAGCTTTTCCGATACCTGCGATGAAAAAAAAAAGAAAATTGTTGTTGCAATCCTGCTTAGAATCGCATAGTCCCTCAATCGTTATCGTCAAGCTCAACTAATGGTTGGACCAGAGAAAGAGGGGTGTTAGTTGATTTCGGTTGAGCTGAATGTGAAGGAAGTGGTTGGTGTCACATTTGGTACGTTGCACAATGGTTCGAATCGCAAATCTACCTGAACGAAACTGCTCAATCATATACACATTAATGAATTTTTATACTAGTCTGAATCTGGCGGATTCAATATGGCGGGCTAAAATTAAAAAAAAAAAAAAAAAAATCGGTAGATTACTGTGTAACTGTATATCTGGGGGTTCTCTGGGTCGTTGATTACGAATGTGAACCGCAAGAAAGTAGATAGAAAATTCTGAAATTATATTAAAAACTCTTACATAACCAAGGTTTTGACAACTCCAAATACATATCTAAGTCAATTGGTAAGACATGATTATCAAACTTAATCTCTGCATTTACGAAGGTGTAAAGATTAATATGCAAGTAATTTCATAACGGCCTCTATAATAAATGGACTTACCATTTTTCCATATGTTTATTGCTATAATAAATTTAATTTCTATATATACATACATGCATTTGTACTTGTACATATGTATGTATGCTCATTTGCAATGACGATTTTTTTTTTAATTTTTGTTCGCGAGGAAAAACCTGACTTCAAAATCATTTCTCTCATCTTGCATTTATTTTTTATTTTTGCGTTATGACCTTCTCGCAGCAAACGAGCGTTATGTATCTACATTTGGTTGAGTTGATTGCATTACAGCAGGTGACTGACTGCCGTGAGATAATTTACAATTCGAAACCCGTTATAATGCATAAGTGTTCACAAATCTGTATATCGCTGCAATTGTAAGAGAAGTTTTTGAGTTATGTGAATGTAAGCTACTTAAAAGTATGATTGCGAAAAGTAAGTAAAACGAAACTTATCATAAATGCAAGCAGAATCNCAATTCGAAACCCGTTATAATGCATAAGTGTTCACAAATCTGTATATCGCTGCAATTGTAAGAGAAGTTTTTGAGTTATGTGAATGTAAGCTACTTAAAAGTATGATTGCGAAAAGTAAGTAAAACGAAACTTATCATAAATGCAAGCAGAATCTTTAGTTAAAGCGACTGTGAAATATTCATATTACGAGTAAACTGTCACCACCACAATCATCACAATCATCTGAATTATGTGNGCCTAAGCGATTTTGGCCGAGTCCAAAACAGCACGCCAGTCATTTCTCTTCTGTGCTAACTGACGCCAATTGAAAATGCCAAGTGAAGCCAAGTCCTTCTCCACCTGGTCTTTCCAACGCAGAGGAGGCCTTCCTCTTCCTCTGTTACCAGCATCGCGGCCCGCGTTGAATATTTTCAGAGCAGGAGCGTTTCTGTCCATCCGAACGACATGGCCAAGCCAGCGGAGCCGCTGAATTTTAATTCGCTGCACTATGTCTATATCGTTGTAAAGCTCATACAGCTCATCGTTAAATAGTCTGCGATATTCGCCATCACCAACGCGTAAAGGTCCGTAAATCTTTCGCAGAATCTTTCTCTCGAAAACTCCAAGAGCCGCCTCATCAGATGCTTTCATTGTCCATGCTTCCGCGCCATACACCAGCACAGGCATGATGAGTGACTTATAGAGTGTGATCTTTGTACGACGAGAGAGGACTTTACTTCTCAATTGCCTACTCAGCCCAAAGTAGCACTTGTTGGCAAGAGTGATTCTCCGTTGGATTTCAAGGCTGACATTATTATTGGTGTTAATGCTGGTTCCCAAATAAACGAAGTCGTTACGAAGTCGTGTGAAGTTACCTCAGGAAAAAAGCAAACATTCCCAGTGGTATATGATATCTTCGATAACAGAGAGGCAGCTGCACTCTGAAATATTCTGCAGGAATGGTTTACCGAGTGTCTTTAGCCTCATCCTTGCGAGGGCTGGACACTCGCACAGCAGGTGTTCGAATGTCTCTTTTGAGCCTGGGTCATCGCAGCTGCGGCAGAACCTATTGAAGGGCAGTCCTTTTCTTTCGGCATGCACCCCAACGGGCCAGTGCGCTGTGCATGCTGCAGTAAATTTGTAGGCATCTGTTTTGCTCATTCCTAAGAGATCTTTGGTTTTGAGTGGCTCGCAGGACACGCAGAATTGCCGGGTAATCCCCTGTTCGGTTCTATCTCTGCCTGGCCTTCGAATGATAAATTTCGGTAATTTTTTTCTTAATCTCCCTGAGCGAAGCGCCCATGTCCACCGCGTGGGACACATTCAGTGCGGAGCCACTCCCTGTTAGTTCGTCCGCTGCCTCGTTTCTCTAGATGCCCCTTTGTCCCGGGACCCATATTAGGGTAATTTCGCATTGATCAGAAATAGAGGCCAGCTCTCTCCTACATGCATCCACTTTTGAAGTAAGGTACCTCCTGTACTCCTCCACCACCTCATTGCACCCGCGACTGTCTTCCTCATCCTTGGGGTGCACAGTACCGGCCGCTGCATTCTTGGCAATATTGTCAAGAATGATTACTGTTGTACCATGATTTGAGCGCCACCCCCGCGGACTTGGTTTCTCTTGCTTTGGAGTGCACCCTGGAGGACTCAACGCTGCCTTAGCGCTCACTGGTAGTATTATCGCAGATCGTGCCGAGTCCTGACTGATTCGACTTCCGAGACATCTATTCGCAGTTGTCATAGTTCTCAACGAATATGTCGCAAGTCTGTCATTATTATTTATTTGTACTCTTGTAATTTTAATGACAAAAGCGAAGGATTTGTGGTGTTGCTTTCCATCAGACCATTTTTAGCAAACACTATAAATAATGTCTGGTCATTCACAAATTCATAGTTTTAGATTTTTTGGTGTGGCATTTTACATACATATATACAGTGGTGGGAAAATAAGGACACGAGTAAAACATTGGTAAATACCCTGCAGGGAGTGACGTTAGCTTATACCTAACTTTAGTCTGTTTACGCGAACACTAGTGCTAACTATTAACAGTGTATTTTGTTCGAAAAAAGCTAACTACTTTTGTGGGGCGATGGCCGCAAAAAAGTCAGACCTGGATACCTCTGCATTACATGTCAACTATCTTGTAACTAACTACTTTTGGACATAAAATATCTATAAGAAAAACAAAATATTTTTTTGGGTTTTTACTTTTTTATTTACTTATTTATTTACTTTATTTTATTACATTTCATAATTGTTTACATATTCTGCTCTGGGTGGCCCCATATTCGAACACCGTCAGACATAACTTCAAAATCCTCTAAGTATCTCTTATACGCAGATGATTTAAAAGTCTACTCAGTTATTAGATCTTATAATGACGCGCTTCTACTTCAAGCTGATCTTGACAGATTATTTTTGTGGTGTGTTAAGAATCGCTTATTTCTTAACATTAAAAAATGTAACCAAATCACGTTTTCAAAACAATCTACACCGCTATCCACATCATACCGTATTTCCGATACTAGATTGGAGTCTCTCAACGTAGTTAAGGACCTCGGAGTATTTTTCGATTCGAAATTTACCTTCATTACGCATGTCAATTATATCGTAGCTAATTCATTTTCGATGCTTGCTTTTGTAAGACGCAACAGTACTGCGTTTTTGAATCCCTACACTCACAAAGTCTTATACTCTGCATTTGTTCGGTCAAGATTAGAGTACGCTGCCTTTATTTGGAGACCTTATTACCAAGTCCACATAAACAGGATTGAGTCAGTCCAGCGCGTGTTTATCCGACACGCCTTAAGATCGCTTAACTTCTCCGACCCTATCCCATCCTATTCTTCACGTTGTCAATTAATTAACTTAATGCCATTGCATAACCGAAGAATTTTCCTGTCCATTTCCTTCATTTTTGATGTAATTTCCGGTAACGTTGATTGCCCCTTACTGCTCAGCAGAATTTATTTCAATATTCCTAGCAGAATTATTAGCAAAACTCTTTACAGTCGAATAGAACTTTGCAAGAAATCAATACGATTTCTTGTTCTCTAGACCTTGATCTCTCTATGCCAAAGGGTATTTTCCGAAATCGGCTTGAATCTTATTTAAGTAATCCCAATAATATTTTATAATATGTAATTTTTTCTAATATGTGTAGTCTGTAAGAACATCCTGTTGGTAGACTTCATAAACAAATAAATAAATAAATAAATAAATAAATAAATAAAATGATAGTATAAAATTTCGATCTTCCTTTTATTTATCCTGAATATGAAAAAGAATCTGCGAAGTTCAGAAAAAAGTGTATTGAAAGTAATTATTGTATGAGGATATTTAATAGAAACTTGTAAAGAAAACCAACTCCTGATTGCGTCTGCATGACTCCTGCACGACTTTACAATTCACTTTAAGTTGGTTTTGTCATAGCTAATTAAAAGTGAGGTATTAATCGAAATCTCGCCAAAAAGCTAACTATAAGTTGGTTAGTTTTAACAATTGATAATTTTTCACTGCAGGGTATGCTTGCAAATATGCTCGCAAAACAACAATTTTTAAGTACAGTTTAATGTTTTGTTTTTTATTCAGTCTATTTCAAGTATTGAAAAATTACAATGGACAATCAAGTGTTGCTTGAAATTCTCAAATAATAGAGATCTCCGATGGTCGTTTTAATTTGTTTAAATATTCGTTATTCTCCATTTGAGATTAAATATTTTTAATATCTTCAATAACACCAATGCCTTTCCGTAAAAAACAAACCACTGTTTTTAAATTTTGTATCAAAGCAGAAATGTATGAAGTTAGATACGGCGGGTTAATAAAAACCAAATCTCTTTTTATGTTATTATTCGTTAACATTTCTTTAACTCGACAAATAAAAAAAAAATCGCCCAAGAAATGGTCAAGAAAAATTTATTGAGTAAAATTTTCTTAAGCAGTACGGAGTTCTTAAGAAATTTGCTACGCTTTCTACAATTGTTTTCAAATTTTTTTTTGTGAAGAGCACACGGCTCCCTTGTCTTCAATAGATACATATGCCCGTTCCATTATTTCGTAAGGAAAAAGTGAGACAGCGGGCTGTAAAATAACAGATGTCAAAACTCCTTGGACACTACTATTCCCACACACGGAATAATAGCAATTTAGTATTTATTGACCGTTTTCTTAAAAGGTCCGTACTTAGCTTTATACATTGAGATAAGCAAAATAAGCATGATCGTTAAAATTATGCTTGGAAACCCTGAATAAGCAAAATAAGTAATTCCAAGCAAAAGCTTTAACTTTTCGGCACTGGTCATAATCCAAAAAATACATTCTGTGTTGTTAAAAAATTTCATAGCTGTGTATATTACCAGTATATGTATTCATTTTTACTATGGCAGTTTATGTAAATGCAAAACTTCAAAGCCGTTTTTCTCGACTTTTGCTTTTTGAGTTATGACACTATTCAACTAAATGAGCGATATGTACTTTTATGGTAATTTTCACTGAGTCTCACTAAAATTCTGCCTATTGCTAGTTTCATTTAAGTACATGCTAATATTCTTTAAATTGCTGGTGAATTGTATTTCAATCACTTAATTTAATCAGCTTTATGAATACTCATAGAAATAGAAACCCGTTTGATAAGCATTGCATTAAATGCTTCACTGTGGTAAATGGTTATATTACCAGTTCTTTAAATACTCTCATACGTTTGTATGTACATATTTCTATCAAGTATTCATTAATTTGTATTTCTATTGTAATCGGCGTCATTAGTTTTTATAACAGTCATCCTTTGTTGGCATTTAAATAGCTAACGTTTACTTGCAATTATTTGTCATCACGAAGTGGCTTATGTATGTACGAGTTAAAACAGCTAAGCTTTCTGCGATCTTGCGTAATAATAGCTAACGTTTATGAGTAGCTCACTAAGTATTTTTTCACCTAATTCAGAGCAAACCCGTTGATTTAGTATATTCATTCTTTATAGGTTTATAATATTATTACATACATATGTAAATAGTTGGTTTTATTATAAAAGATATTCTAAATAAATGTATTTTCTTTTCTTTCAGATGCTACTAGACCCAGCTGTAAGTAAATATTAAAAAAATCACTCATTTTCATAGATCATTGTAAAAGCGTCTTCCATTAAAACTTAGCATTTCAAATTCCATGCATACATACTTTGTCTACCCGGAAGTTCTGTCACAATATCTTCAATTTATCCTAAATAATCCCAGTGGTAAAATGGTAATGAATGCATACCTTTTTCTACCAAGAAAATATTAACAACTAGGGTTGAACGCATAGATGCATCGCAATGTAAGCGAGCAGATGATGTGTAGTCACGGGTTCAAAACTTGTGGCGCGGATTGATTTATATTTTTTATTATATTTATAGTTTCGTAAAGCGACATGCGACGACTTTAACTTTCGTATGACATCGCTGTGGAGAAATTCTTGCATCTTTTCGTGCCTAAGCTATAATGGGGCTATCCATTACTTTTTGCATTCCCAGACATTACCTTTTTCCCACTGGGATAAGCAGAGTTGATTTCTTGTCAAATGGTTGTGAAATAGCAAACATCCCTTGATCTGAATCGATCATACTATATCAGGAGATGTGCTTTGTTAAGTTTTATGAATATGTGAATAGCTCAGTATTTAGATAATTTCATATTCAAGCTACCAATGCAATGTTTTTACCTCCCTTTTATTAGCTCGGGATGTAGCTATGTAATATTGATACGCCTAAAAGATGCAGCGATTTCTATTCTCAAGTTACATACCTGATGACAGTACGAATGGAAATTATAATAGCGACGTTTTAATTTTTTAAACTATAATTTTATTTACCCCCTTAACCTATTGTGTGAGGCGGTGGCATGGTCATAGAGAATCCTCTTCAACATGGTGAGAGGATCGTTTACTAAACTTCTGCGGCTGGCGTGCATCTACTCACCTCATCGCAGCCATGGAGGGCATGCCCGTCTTGCCGTCACTTTACTTGATCCATAAAACAGACTGCTATGAAGGTCCTCTTAAACTTCAGAGAGGCACAATAACAACCGAACCATTCAAAAAGATTTAATTTAGCAAAAATAAAAATACATAAAATAAGTTTGAAATATTAAATTAAATTAGACAATATGTATTTCTTTTTTAAAAATAAAAAAGCGGAAAAGGTTAATTAGAAATGAAAAAAAATGTAGATTAAAGAAAAAGAAAAAAAAATTCTGCTGTGCCAGGACTCAGGAACTCGGATCTCTCGATTGGCACGCCTGTGCTTTGCCCACTCGGCCATTGCGACTGTGGAGATAACGCGTGCTAAATGATATATTTACAAGTGCTTTCTCTAAAATACCTTTTCACCGCAAGTTGTGAACGAGAGAGTTTTTTTTCTAAGACTTTTGTGCTAGAATAATTAAAAGTCTTTCGAATTATCTTTCTATCTGTCTTTCATTTGTCTTACGATAGACGTTCCACTATCTTAGTCAGAATTGCCCTGTTAGTTTTTAGGTGGAAAATACATTTCCAGGTAGCATTTAAACATTACAAAAACCCATATTGACTGGACAAAAGTGACATAAAGGAAATATTATTTTTCTTAGAAAATAACCAATAAATAATAATAATAATAGAGTAGGGCTTACACATATCGTCACCTTTATGCCAGAAGCATAAATGTGCCGATTTATCACGTTTTGCGTTATTGGGTTGACTTGATTAACCTTTGGATAATCTATGTTATACCAAAACCCAGAATACCATGCGTACACGGAAACCACATATTTTACAATTTCAATTGCATAAATGTAGAGTAAAACGTCGTAATAAAAAATTTCAAACTTGATTCCCAAAATTTTACATCTTTGCACATTCATTTTCTGGCATACGAGCGACTGATATGTTAGTGTTTGGCCGAGCTTCTCCTCCGATTTGTGGCGTGCGCCTTGATGTTTCACACAAAGCAAAGGGATCTACAGTTTTACGCCGACTCCGAACGGCGATTGTATTAATATGAGAAGCTGTTTTTCATGGCAGAAATACACTCGGACTTTTGCCATATCCTGCCGAGGGGCGACCGTTATTAGAAAAAACCCTTTTGTTTTCTTATTTTTTGATGTTGGGTTGAACCGGGATTGAACCCAGACCCTGCGGAATGATAGCGTGCACTACCCCACAGCCGCCGTCGTTAAGAATATGAACCAATAAATATAAAATTTTTATTTCTAGATCATATATATCCATAGAAATTATGAAAGAAAATGTGAACGTACTTTGTTTATGTGAAGTAATTTGATCAAACCAAGTAATTTATGCTGTAATGTGAACCCAGTTTTAATTATTTCGATAAACAAAAATCCCGGATTTTGGATTTTTGGCCTATAATTATTAACCGTTATAAAGAAGACTGCATTTTTATGACCGTTTTAAATCCTTTATGAACTACACAATTAAATCTGAAAATAACGGTTATGAGATGATAAAAAAAAATAAAAACCACAAAATAACGATTAAATTTAATAGGAAAAATATAAGTTCAATTTTAACGGTTACTGTATGATTTATTATAAAGATCACAACGGTTGCGGTCCCTGGTTGTAAAAGTATAATTGCTGACCAAGGTAGTCTTTCCGGTAGATCCGGCAATCGGGGGAACGCTAAGCCTTCGTTTTCGCAAGAACTAAATAGAAGGTGTTCCAAATATATTCGTCTTAGATCACTCTCATAAAACCATCAAAAAATTTTGCTGTTTTAAACGAGCGGATTTTTCTTCCAGGGGAATACGCAGCAAAAAAACGTGTTTTATAAGATTTAACCCAAAAACGTGTTCACTTTTTTCGCTTTTTGCCTATGTCTTTTAAATTCTAAACCTTTCCAGTAGATAATTTCAGGAGCTAAAATCTCATCTAAAACTACATCCTGAGAGCCAAGAGGCCTTCCACTCAGCATTCCTTTCTCCTTTCTTTTTATATGGAACGGCACAAATTGAAGGGCTTCTGCTTTCCGTACCATTATAATGGCTTCCAGAAAAGCTTTTGTAGCACGTACTTAAGAAGGCATTTTGAACGGAGTTCTACTGCATTCATATCAAATATGTATATTTTATTGTAACTTAAATTTTTTATTGAAATTCATCTGTATTTCTAAATAGTATAAGCTTATACGTACATACCATTTTCACGTGAATTACAAATAGGAAAGGCTCTTTTAGAAGGCATGCGGGGAAGGACTTCTTTAGCCCATCTGAGGCAAGCTTTTAGAATGGCTTCAAGAAGGCATACCTAAATTATCTCCTGGGTTCGTACGTCGGTGGTTGTACGAGAAGAGTGTTTTCTGAGTAAACCTTTTATTATTGAATCATGGTTTCTATGTAAATTATCAGATCGAAAATACTTTTGTAAAGAAATCTCCACTTTGATTGCTATACGCCAGGGCGTTGCTATAAATTTACAAATTGTGACAGAATTTATTGTAAGTCTTAAGTACTTTGTGAAGCTTCTACACATTCTTCGCTTATTGTACAACAGGTTAAGAGGTTTTAGGGAGCATATCGAGCCCTAACCGCCAAAATAACGTAAGCGACATTTCTTCCAAAATTTTATTTTTGATGCAGAAATATTCTTTGAACATCTAGATGCATTTCTGCATCAAAAATAAAATTTTGAAAAAAATGTCGCTTACGTTATTTTGGCGGTTAGGGCTCGATATAACTATTGTATCCGTTAAATTTAATTAAGTTTTAATGAATGTGTTGCACTATAGTACATATCATAACTATAGGACAACCACATATTGACAATTTTTGACTATTTATTTTATTATTACTTAATTTTAAAGTTTTTGTATACAAATACATTTCATTCTATTACAAAAACCACATAAATTCGAGTTTTCAACTTTGTACAAAAATTAAGCAAAGTTTCATCAAAATATCACACTTTTTATTCAGAAAAAGAGTACAAAAATCAACGGGATTTTGTAGCCACTTCAAACTTGAATTTTATTATACTGCATACCTAAAAGTTCTGAATAAAAACTATGAAGTTGTGATGAAATTTTTTTAACTTTATTTTTATTTTTGTAAAACGTGTGAATTTTCGATAAATATGGTATATTTCTAAAATATTAAGTAATTTTATGTTCTTTCAAAATATTCGGATACGCCCGATATTTAATTTTAATATATATTTTCTATTTTGTCCGTGGTTTCATGCTCGTTTACACGTACTCACATACATACGAATACATTGCTTAATTGCTTTTCTAGCGCACAAATTAATAACCATTGTACTTACATAATACAACGCGTAACATAACTATTTAAAACACATATTTGCATACATACACACAAACATAAAGCTCCAATTACCTAACGACATTCGCTGTTTTGTGTTAATTAAAAAAAAAAATATTATTTAATTTTTAATTATTATTTTACGTTAATTATTATGTGTTTTTGGTTCCCCAAGGGGCAGATGTACTTTCTGCATTTAGAAACTATCAAACTAGGCTTGATGGCTCGCGGCCTCGTGGCGCCTGTAAGTTTTTTTGCCAACACTATATTTTCGCTCATCTGAAAGTACGATTTAATCGAAATAAATTCACAACCAACAGCAAAAATTAATCAATCAAAATTATAAAAGGAAATTTCTTTCCAATGCATTTAGTTTAACCCCTGCACATTGTGTTTAGAAAGTTTGCGACGCCGCTACTAATATTCATTGCCATTTCATAGGTGGTTAGGCTAAACAAAAACAGGCTGCTAGCGTTAAATAAATAATGAATTTCTTTTCACACCCTCTTTTTATTTTTCTATATTGCCACCCTTTCATTGATCATCTTCTATGGATTGCCTTTCTTCGCCTGTTCAATTATTTACATGATTTTTTTTAGTAAAATGCACTTACAACGAAGCTGGCGCCAAGGAGCACATCATAAATGTTTTAATGGAATTCGTGCTGGGCGACAATCCGAAAATCGTGCTTGACAAACTGCAACAGGAGGGCAATACCGCCACTGTGTGCGGCAAGGTGTTCAAAAATGGCGAACCAACGTACAGTTGCCGCGAGTGTGGCATGGATCCCACTTGTGTGCTGTGTGTGAATTGCTTTAAACAATCTGCGCATCGCTATCACAAGTACAAGATGTCAACTTCAGGCGGCGGTGGTTGCTGTGATTGCGGCGACGAGGAGGCATGGAAGAAGGATCACTACTGCGAAGAGCACTTAGTGAGTTCAATTATATTAAAATCATTCTATGTATGTATAAGCTCATAAGGCATTCATATATTTTTATGTATATTGGTTCATCGGTTTGTGTAAAATAAGGTTATAGCTAGTTTTGATTGAAATCAGGTTTTGTACAACCCAATTTAAAATTGACTTCGTAGAAAAAACTTTCTACGCAGTTTTTACCTTGTACTATTGAAAAAAACAGTTTTTTTGGACAGACAGTTGATTCCTGGAAGAACATTCTGTAAAGTCCAAATCCTACCTCGCAGACTGCTTTTGCGGCCTAAAAGAAATATTCCGACAAATTCATAACCTCCTTTTTTTGAAGTCGTTTTAAAATTAAATTGCTGTGTGTTTTTATCCGTCTAAGGTTGTTTTATGTTAAAAGTTCTAAATTGTTTCCAAAAATGTGGCCTGATACGAACCGGGCTTAAAGTGCTTTTTACCGATTTAATATTTTTCCAAACTAGACAAAATTGTACTCTACTGGGTAGAAAGAAAACACAACTTTTTAACAAAACACGCATATATTTTTCGCATATAAAAAGTATTGAAATTCGTCCAATTTATTTTGCGTTTGGACTCAGCACCTGATGACCATTTTGCCCAACTGGGTCAAAACTACATACATACATACTTTCATCCCCTTCATAAAAAAGTGGGTTTTTCTCTACAAAACCATCATACTCATTTGTCTATGAATTTCCAGCGCGGAAAGGAGAATCCCGCTAGCAGCACAATCATCACCGACGCGATTAAGGAACGTTGTGAGGTGGCATTCACTGCAATTCTAACATTTTGCGTCTCTTTCCTCGAAATCGAATCAAATGCGAGTCTCGAGTGCTTGGATGGCGACTCAGATGATGGTCAAGAGGAGTGCTTTTGCACTGTCCTCTATAACGATGAGTCCCACACGTTCGACCAAGTCATACAGACGCTGACGAAAATTGCCAAGTGTCGCCAAAAGGATGCCATGGAGATTGTGGCAGCTATTGATCGCGAGGGTCGCGCTGTTGTCAAATGTGATACGTTTAGTGAATGTTGCCAATTGCAGGAGGCTATCGAAAAGCAAGCCGTCACTACTCTATCGGCCTTACACACGCCACGCGCCAATCAATCGTTACGCGTTTCTGTGCTCAACATACGCGCTGTAGCTTGCCAGCAATTTGCCCTGCAGCTACTTTCCTGGTTTCAAGAGTTTCTCATCAAACACTGCATCTTCAGGCAAATATTTGCTCGCCTCATAATGGATCGTAAAGCCCCCTACTGCATACGTCATATACTCGAGTATGATGTTAAGTTGTGGAAGACTGCCCGCTCCTGTTGGCATCGTCTGCTCATCTCTGGCATGCTAATGGAGTACGATAACAAAATGGCGTTGGCACAAGAGTTCTCCAAACATTATGCATCAGTTGTGCAGGATTTCATACGCGACGATCATGAGCATTCATTCTCGATTGTGTCGCTGAGTGTGCAACTTTTTACGGTGCCAAGTATAGCTCATTATTTAATTGCGAACGAGGGAATTTTTCACAAATTGCTCCACACCTTCTACCATGCGGCCGTGGAGACGTACATAAAAAATAAAACATTGCAATTTGCAAAGAATGTGAATGTGTCTTTTAAACGTGCCGCTTATATACTCTACGATTTGCGTTATATACTCAGTTTCAAGCCGGACGTATGGACGGATGAATTGCGCGAAGGATTTTTGGAAGGTTGTAAGGCGTTGCTGAAGCTGTTGAATGTGATGCAGGGCATGGAGTCGACAACACGCCAAACCGGACAGCATATGGACTACGAACCGGAATGGGAGTGCGCTTTCAATTTGCACATCAAATTGGCCACCACCATTACGTTGGTGTTGGAATGGTGCGCCACTGATGCAGTGGTGTTGAATAAACTTTATCAAATGGTAATGCGTTACCTCAGCACAAATGTTTTCATTGTGGATCGCGTACCGAAGCGTGAGGAGCGCCAGGTCGCTGGCCATGTAGCTGAGTGTATTGTATATGATGTGGCTTCTCGCCCCGTCTCCATACATCTGCCATTGTCGCGCTTCTTTGCTGGCATATATTTACATCTGGGTTCATTTGGTTTGACATTCGACAATGCGGTGACCGGACACAAACGTTCACCCGAAGAGATTATAGAACCAATTCTGTGTACACAAACGATGATTGCTCAGGTAAATTGTTGAAAATAAAATGCTGAAGAAATATTTAATCCAATCCCGGATTTTGCAGGTTCACGCAGGCATGTGGCGCCGCAACGGCTACTCACTACTTCATCAGCTCTACTTTTATCGCATTGTACGTTGTCGCGGCGAAATGCTGGATCGCGATATTATCGGCCTGCAGATTGGTGCTGCTCTTATCGAGAGCAATCAATATCTAATACATATTTTAAATAAATATAATTTAATAAAATGGGCACAACCGGATTATGAAAAGGATCTAACGGCACAAGCGGTAGATGAAGAATATTTGTTGTCGATGATCGAAGAATTTTTGGAACTGTTAATTGTAATCATCGGCGAGCGCTATGTACCGGGTGTAGCTGATGTTACCGAAGATGATCGTATTAAAAAGGACATCATTCAATTACTCTGTATTAAGGCATTTTCGCATTCGGAGTTGAATCGTGCTCTACCAGAAAATATTAATGATACACCTTTAGAAGATGTCATCGACCAGGTGGCAGTGTTCAAAAAACCACAAAAGTCGGACGCGAAGGGCGTCTATCAGCTCAAAGAAGAGCTCTACGATGATTATAATATGTATTTCTATCACTACACTAAGGAGGAGAAGTCCAAGTCGGAGGAGACGCAACGTTTGCGGCGTAAAAACAAAGGTGAACTGGTCTGCTGTCCACCACCCAAGCTGCCCAAGTTGACCGAAGGGTTTGTGTAAGTTCAGTTGATGTCCTTTAGAAGTTGAATACAACAAAAAAAACGTATAAATGTATTTTTCTCCCAGCTCTATTGCGAATTTGCTGCAGTGTGATGTGATGATGACGATATTAACAACTGTACTGGATCGGGCTATTGATGTATCCTCAAATAGCTTCGCTGAAAACCATTTGCAGGAGGTAAGTTAAATTTTACCATCAGCTTTCTGTAGTCCTAATTCGGCTTATTAATTTCCCAACAGGTACTCTACCTAATTGGCTATGGCCTACAAGAGGAGCAATCGGGCTATTATCCGTTCCTCTCTTTTCACGAACAGGCTCGGAAATATAATATGCTATCTAAATTGGATGAGTTATCTCGCAGCGCTAGGGTACGTGCAGATTTTCTAATAAATTTATTTGTCCAAATTTACTCATATATTGTAACCGTTGCAGGTTGAAGCTCATCGTGATTTCATACTCTGGACGATTAAGAAATTCAAGGAGCTACAAGTCCAAGACGAAGAAGCTGCCGGTGGATCAGAGGGTACAATGCCAGCGGAAGACGAATCAGTTGAGGATACACGTCCTCTCACCGCTGCCGAACAGGAAAAGCAAGAGAAAGAAGAACGCGCACGTTTAGCCGCCCAACGTCGCGCTAAAATAATGGCACAAATGCAAAATGCCCAAAATAATTTTATGAAATCGAATGCCGAAATGTTTGCTAGCGCCAACGTACAGCCGAGCAGTCGTGATCCGTCGACTGCAATGGAATGGCAAGAAGATGTTTCGATGTTGCACGAAGAAGGTGCAGTGGCATATAACTCCGTAGCTTGTCTCGGGGTGGAGCGACGGTTACAACAGCCGGAAGAGCAGAGTTTTAAATGTATTCTATGTTTTGAGGATTGTACCGTTAGCAAGGATGGACCGACACTAGTATACTCAGCATTCGTGCAGAAATCGAAAGTGTTGAAGCCTGAAACGAAATATGAATATTCGGTACATACGAGTAGTTGCGGCCACGTAATGCACGTTGATTGCTGGCAGGAGTACTACAACAACGAAGAATCGAAAGAGCAACGTCGCCCACATCGCGGTCGTCAGCCCTTTCAGCAAACACCACAGAGCACTGAATTTCAATGCCCCTATTGCCGTTGTCTAAGTAACTCGGTACTTCCGATATGCGCGCCACTATCGAAGTACTCCATGCCTTTGGTTTTCCATAAAGGCGACGAATTGTTCCCCATCGATATGTGGATTGAAGTTCTGAAAACTCTCGGCGATGAATTGAGTATGCCGGCGCTTGAAGGAAATATCGATCGAGTTTTGCCACCGGCCCACTCAATTTTGTCCCGCGCAAATCTGTATGCTAACATCGCACAATTCGAGCGCATCGCACAACCCATAGATAAAGTAGAGTTGCCGACAAGCTGGACTAATTATTTACAACATTACATAAAATCAGTGCGTCAGCATTCACCAATCGATTTTGAGACTTCGGAGAAGGAAGGACTGCTGTGGCTGTGGAATACATGCATCTACACAGTACAAGCGTTGGAAGTTTACCTGCGTGCAGTGGGTAAGCCATTCAAAAGCGAAATGTCCATACGACACAAAAGTTGCTTAAGTGGGCTAATACGTGCAAGCTGTTTGTATGGCATCAACCTGACTTGTACAGATGTGAAGAATTTGAAGGAACCAGCCGCTGAATTGCTGGACACAATATTCAAACAGAAAGGCAACTCGGTAGTGGAGTGGAACTGTTTCAACATGATGGTGCAAATGATATGCATGGTTCCAAATCTAATCTTCTCATCATCGCGTAAGTATCAAAAATGAAAGTTTTGCTTGCAGATTTACTAATTTGGTGAAATTTCCTATTATAGAAAAAGCCGTTGTCGCCAACGGCAGCATTATGGATTTCTACGCAGTGCAGTTATTCTTCCTAGCAAATATGGTGAAGGCAATCGTGCTTTTCGAGCCATCCACATCGCACAGCGGGATGGAAATGGATGTCGATGAAGAATATGATCAGGAAGTGAAGCAGTTACCACAAAAAGTACGCGATAACATTGCAAAATTCTACCGCAAATATAATTTTGCAACTCGCCGTCAATCATGCACGTCCGCCCAACAACTGGGTCGATCCAGGCCACAACCCCAAACGCCACCGAAAACGGAGGAGACCGCTACACAAGAAACCCAATCGACAGCTGAACCAACTGCCGATGCTGAGGCGTTAATGGGTGAATATATTGCCGACGATGAGTTCAAAGCACCATGCGATTTGAGTACTATTGCCGCGCTTTATGATCACATCAAAATGGAAATGCGTGAATTTTTGCGCTGCTGTTGTCTGTTCTTTCACTTTATCACTGAAGTAGAATTTCCGGATGAGCTCAGCTACACGGCCAGTGACACATACGAGAACATGTGCAAATACTTAGGACTACAGACCGGTCTGGAAACATATTTCGATAGTGAAGGTTGCTATGCATCCATTTTGGAGATATTTGCCTCGCATCCCGATATTGTTTACTGCGACGTGGCAACGAAAAAGAAGCGCTGTGGCAGAGAATTTGCTGTGGTGCCATGCACGCGTGCGGTGCCCAGATTGGTGGATTTACCCGAAGACTTCAGTGATCTTATAAACAGTGTTTCGGACTTCATTTGCCCAAATAGCGAACGTGAGGAAATGAAAACACCAACGATGTGCTTGGTATGTGGCAAAACTATATGCGCACAGTCATTCTGTTGCCAGCCAGAATTAGATGGACGTACTGTAGGCGCTTGCACTTATCATGCCCACTTTTGTGGTGCGGAAATTTGTGTATTCCTACGCGTACGCGATTGCCAAATTGTCTATTTGGGACGCAATAAGGGATGCTTTGTATATCCGCCCTATCTTGACGAATATGGAGAGACTGACCAGGGTTTGAGGCGAGGCAACCCATTGCGCTTGTGCCCAACACGCTATAGTAAAATACACCTGTCCTGGCTGGGTCATGGATTGTACGAGGAAATTGCTCGATTAAATGATAATACGTCCGTTGTGGCCACACAGTGGCATCACATGTAGTCGTTTTGGTGGAGGCCAGCACAACGATGTCGGGCATAGAAATATACATACATAGGAAGTGACGACGAAGAAGAAAGTATATACGACACTGAGATGGCGCAAAAAAGTTGTCAACTTATGTGATTTATGTGAGCTAATTATATGAAACTTATCGGGAAAATTACATTACTTTCTCCAACAACAGCTTGGAAAAAGCGAAAGAAACTATTGGAATTTTATTCCCGTTACGAATGTATAGTTTTGCTTTTTGAATTTGTAAAGAACTATTTTTTTATTTTATTTATTATAAACTACTTATAATGAATGCAGTGGAG